ACACTATTACAGTGACGGAGATAATATTGAAAAATTTCGAAGTATCGAATTATAATTATGTGTTTCTGTTAACTTTCTTTTAAGTACTAACGTCCGACACATCTACACCTATATAATATATAATATTTGAGAAAGTCGAATGTCCGATATATCGACGGTCTCTCTCTTCTTGTTTTGAGTAGCTAGAGTATCTTTATTTCATTTGATTAACTTTGACAATATAGGAAATACAATAATTTATATGAAAACATGTAAAATTAAACTTCACCTGGCGATTTAAATCCGTTCATTAGTGAAGAAGGATTTAAATACCCCATCCTTCGAAGGTTAATCTTGGCATTGCTGGTCACCACTAACCATGCCACTTAAAATGTTAAATTGAACGCGTAAATAAACCTATTTTGGTATGTTCTATACTGCACGAATTTCTTCACATCATTCTAGCGACGAAGATTAATATCGAATAATTTCCAAGTTTCGAATTATGTGTTCCTACTAATCTTGACATCACCGAGTCACCGAGTGACTCCTCCTGTGGCATTCAAATGATTCCTCAGATATTATCGAGAGGTTGAAATCTAACATTATCTCTGACAACAACAACTCTCTCGTATTATCTCTGATAATAATCCGCTTGAACTTTCGCAAAAAAAGGGAACGTCCCAAGTATCCCAAGTCCGAACTTTGTCCGTCCCACGTATATATCGCTTCTCGTATATATATATCGCGAAATTAATCTCGGCGCAATTAAATCAACGTCGCGTCCCGCAAGAAACCGAAAGCTCTCGTCGCCGCTGCACCATCCTCGCTTTTGCTCCCTGCAAGAAGCAACGCGCGGCATCCGACCGGAGAGACTGTTGTGACACTCGCGAATTTCGGCGAAACTGGAGAGACGACGATTCCCACCGAGATGTACTGGAAGGCAGCTGGAAGAAAGGAACCGGAAGTCCGCGGGAGACCGAGACTTCTTGCGCTCGTGTGTGATACGCGAGGAGAGAGAGGATGCCTTCGGCACCGAGGGCAACATAGTGCCGCGCGACGCGATTAATCGCCGCTACGCCGCAGGAATTAATTGTCGACGCGGCGATAATTCATCGTGGCTTCGCTCGCCGCAATATTTCACCGGCAAGGATTTTTCGCGGTCGCCACCCCCACGAGCGATGGCCCCGAACGAAAACGTCCACCGTCCGAAGGAAAACACGATGTCCGTTTCTTTTTAGCCCCCGGAGGATATTTGGCGGATGTATGTCTAGTTTTCTCGCCCGTACGGCGAGACTAAAGTTATCCGGACGTTCGATGCTTCGAACAATTCGTAAACGTTTCTCTGACAAGCTGTAATTTGTGTGGAATTCTCGTGAATTTCAAAAGAAATAATATCCAAGATTGGTGACATTTGCTGAAAGATATGTTTAAGTATGTCGGCAACATAGTAAGCCAGAGTAATTTCTCGTAAGTGGAAATATTGTCAATAGTTCAACGATGTGAACGAGTCTGCTATTGAAAAACTACAGAATTCGTTGCTACTTTTGTGTAGAGATGGAGACATCAAATTTAAAATAATTACTTCATTGTTTTGTCATTTGTCGCTGAAACATAAATTACATTGCGGTGCTCATATCAGATTATATTATTGTAGAATATTATATTATACTATATATAATATTGATATTAATATTATATAATAATATATTATGTATATTATTATGTTATAGTAGATTTTAGACTATATTATTATATAATACTATACTATACTATACTATATTATTTCAGATATTATATAGTAATATATTATATATAATAGATTTTGGACTATATTATATAATATTATATTATAATATATATAATATTGATATTAATATTATATAATAATATATTTTATATATTACTATATTATAATAGATTTTAGACTATATTATTGTATAATACAATACTATACTGTATTATTTCAGATAATATTATATAATATTATATTATACTATATATATAATATTGATATTAATATTATATAGTAATATATTATATATATATTACTATAATATAATAGAGTTTAAACTATATTATTGTATAATACTATATTATTTCAGATATTATATAATATTATATTATATAATACTGATACTATATATAATATTATATAATAATATATTATATATATATTACTATATTATAAATTTTGGAGTATATTATTATATACTCCATATAATAGATTTTAAACTATATTATTGTATAATACTATACTATATTATTTCAAATTATATTATACTATATGTAATATTAATATTAATATCATGTAATAATAATAATAATATATTGTACTATATTATAATAGTAATAATACAGATTCCAATACGACTAGAACTATTTCACAAGTAACAATTCCAGAGCAGATAAACATGGTCGTGAAATCCTCAAAGAAAGGGTTCGTGCCTCGAAACACACGTGAGACAGTGTGTCGATTTAAATTTCAAATTAATTGAAATTGCAATTGTAGGAGCACTCTCGATGACAAATTTAATAACAGAGATAATTCGCCAAGGTACGTAGCGTTGCAGGACGTTAGGGAAGCAATAAATTTTTTGCACGTGACTGTCCTTGCCAACTGTAGAACAGTACACGCAAAATTCACACGATCGTTGCCGTGACCTTGTCGACCGACGACTCGACCTTGCCGCCGCGAGGTCTTTTCGATTAGAGATAAGAGAATTCGTGGTACGATTCGAGGAACATGGTGTAATATTGGTGCGTGTGCGATGTCTCTATTCCTTAGGAACGCGGAACTTAATACGCGGTTTCCGCGGTTTGACTTGCGGTCTCGGCTTGGTTAATGTGGGAGAGTTGATTAGGAAGATTGATAACATTATGGAGGTTAGATGGCTGGAGTTTGGAAGGTTGTACGAGGATGTTGTGACGTATTGGGATTCTTTGAGACAGAGGCAGACATTGACCTATGTTTTCCAATTCTATTTGCGTTATTCTAGGTTTTTTTTTTTTTATATGGAGGTTTAGAGTCGCATCGACTACGAGAACTTTAGCGACGTGCTGGAATTTTCTCTTTATATCTAGTAGTCTTGAGTCTCCTTTAGGTAGTTGATAACGTTTTTTTTTTGTTGTTTCTGGCTGGTTAGAGCGGTGTTTTGGTTTAATCCGTATTTACTTCTTAGGTTTCGGTATTTTCTGCATTCATGTAGCAGGTGTTGTTGCGTGGTGAGAGGTTATTTCAGCTCAATTAACCACTTGCGCTGGCAACTGATTGCGGACCATAACGAGTGACCAAACCGTACGCAATAATTCCGTCGCTTTCTCTTTCTTTTGAACTCGTCGGTATGACATCACTGGAATAGAAATTATTGAGAAGTGACGAATTTATTATTTGTTTTGTCTAGGTTATACTTAAATATACTTAAAACTGAGAAAAATATTGCAATATTGGGACGAAAAACTCTCGACGTGCGTGGCACGTCATTCCAGCGCAAGAGGTTAAGTGTTGATTTTGATTTTCAAGATTTAACGACAGTGTGAAAAGTATTTTTAATTATATCATTTTGGTATATTAGAATATAATTATATAAAATATTTCATATATCATCGGTTTCAATGATTTTGATTTATATTTTTCAAGTCAGTGTTATTTCATTTATACGTACTTAATATAACGTGTCGTTTGACTTCAATTTTCAATTTGAATTAAACTGTTTTATTGACAACTGGTATGTTATTTAATTATCAAACGATATAATAAAATATTTTCTACATTATCGACTTCAGTGATTTTGATTTATATTTTTTAGTGTTGTTCTAAGTACTTCACTTTAATTTTCAAGATTTAAAGACAGTGGACAATAATAATATAATATTATTATAATTATTAATATATTATTATATAATAATATAATAATATTTCGTACATTACAAGATTCATTTCAACGATTTTGTTTTACATTTTCCAAGTATTATTTCACGTATACGTACTTACAAATTGCTTCTTAACTTTAGTCTCTTCTCGAGACTTAATAACAAAACTTAACGTTACTTTTAATTAACCAATTTCACAAATGGTACGCTATACAGTCCAAAATGGACACGATGGAACATTTTCACGTGTTATAATCTAATCCAATCCAGAGGATCCATAAGCCATAATGTTAACGTTCTTCATTTACGCGGGGTTAATATAAACCGAGTCCAAGTTCCCGGACAGAAGCGTGACTTTTTCCACAGTTCCGCGATTTTCAGTTTCGCGTGTCCATTTACTCGGACACTTCTTGATTTAGATATTCATGAGAGCGAGCAAAAGTTCGGATCTTAATTAAAACTTGGCAAGCTACCGAGCGCCTCTCGATGCTTTTTAATAGCCGTTGACATGTCAGAAACTCGATGGAGGAGGCGGAGTGTCGATATTCAAAGAAAATACTTTGTGAAAATCGATAATCGACGTCTCCAGGGCCAGGAGGTTATCTTTATCGCCGTTCGCTGAAAACTTCACTAAAAGCGGAAGACGATATTTGTCCAAGAGTTTGTCCGAGGGTTCGTTAGCCCGTGCGAATATATAAATAAAACGAGCTTGAAATATTCATCGAGCTACAGAGGTTTAGCTGGCATTGCGAAGTAATTTAAAATAAGAAATTTAAAAGCGTCATTACTCGTGCTGTTTGTCATGTGACCAGTGAGCGTTACAGCAAACAGCTCCGTCAAGTTGCAGTTGAATTTTCTTTGAATCATTTACAATGATATTATATAATTATAATTCTTGTTATAACTTCGATTCATAACTGACTGTATATTCGTCTTGTGTACACAGTAGCACTGTTTCTTCAATTTTCCTAAAAAGAATGAATTGAAATATAGTTATTGGCATTTTTTAGGAAAACTATCGAAATACTCGTAATCGTGTTCATTCCGTGGTGTTCGAAACGAGTGTTTTGAAGAATTGTTTCCGAAACTTACGAACAGAACGTTGCACCACACTCGGATTTCTAAACGCACGTTGGATCTGATTGCAGAAACTACAAACGATCGGCGAGGATTTCTGCGGGCTGGACGTGAATACGCCACTGGGCGGCGAAGACCCGATGGAAGGTACCCCGGTGCTCACCTTCAACACGCATTTGACAGCGGTTGCCGCCACCTCGACCGGCGACTACACGGTCGTCTTCGTGGGCACGAACGAAGGCCATCTGAAGAAGGTCAGTGCACGATGTATACTCTCTTTATCTCGGCGATCGAAGAGAAGCAAGAGAGCTTCGCACGAACGTCGAGCTGTGTATGTTTCATTAGGGCCCGACCATCGTACGTTCGTTATCCGCTCCCGCCGCATATTTTCCACGATCTAATTCTTCCGTAATGACCCTCGGCCGGCACGGCGAGCTTTATTTTTAACGCTCTTTGACCTTTCACCCCTGGACAATGCGTCGATTCTTTACACTCGAGGCCACTGCTCTCCGCGGTTCGCCTTCGTGCTCTATTTTTTTTTTTTTTTTTTTTTTTCCCCCCTCTACGCTTGATATTTCCGCCGCTCGCCTTCAATACGGGGGACCATAGTTACAACGGCAGGTGAGCGTAGAAACGCGAAACGAGGTGAAAGGGTGATGATTAAAAAATTTGAGAAAGCTTGCACGTCCTCTTGCGAACGATAGGCTTTTTCAGAGAAACGGTACGGTTTCTAACTGTGAGATCTTTGCCGATCCGAGTCTCTAACGAAATGGCCAAAAAATGACCAATTTGTAACTTTCATTAAGCTTTTAAATTAAACAGCTTTATACGTTTGTTTTATGTAGCGTATCGACGTAAAATACTGTATTTTTAAAGATCTAAATAATTTAAAAGCTTGTGCAGCTTCACTGTATTATAAAGTTTTTCTATTTCTTTTCTTTCTTTCTTTCTTTTTTTTCTTTTACTTGGAAATTTTATGCTTTACTCTAACGTTAAATCGTTAATTAAAGGTTTCTTTTCATCGTCACTTTAAAAAAAAAAAAAAAAAAAAAAAATGTGTACAGTTCTACAGTTCCGTCAACAGAAATTCTTCCTTTCGAGTGTCTCGAAATCGGCAGTTTCGCCCCCGGAAAACGAAACTAGCCGGAGAAAACGTGAATGGACGCAGCGAAGCAACACTAAAACCAACGATCACGAGCGGTCGAGCCCATTGGATTTCCTCTTGCTCTCTTTCGGCGTGACAATTAATCCCGAATCAAGCTCGCCGTCGGCTCGCGAAAGTAATCACAATAGATATTAATGCGAACGACAGAAATTGGGGTTACAGCGAAATCCGGCTTCTACCCGCGTTCCATTAGCCCGCAGGTTAGCCATTACGCGAATATCGTTGCTCGCGAAGCGTTAACGCTTAACGAAGCTAATGGAGTCTCGTCGCTCCGTCTCGCCAACTTCAACAGCTTCGAGAAACTCCTCGAAGTCGGAAACGGAAACTACACGAGCATCTCGGCAACGAACTTGCTCGATCGTTGGATTAAGGCCCACTGTTCGCGAGACAGAAGCGTGAGCGTAATCTGTCTGACAGTTACAGCAATTATCAAGGCACGCCTAATATTTCAACGGCAATTCTTCCCTATGCGAATGTTGCGCGATTAACTGTCGGAGCCGAGAGTCTATCTATACGATCGTTCGTGAATCAAAGAGATCGTGAATCAAACGCGCGTAACGCGAGCCGCGTAATTGGCTGTTGGCTGCGACACAGCTGAAAAAGAAAGAGAGAAGAGAAAAAGAAGAGGGAGGGAAGAAACACGCTGGAAATTACGGTGGAAAAATGATTCTGGACCTGGAGCTCGGATCGTTATCGTTATCTGCGCGGTGGATGCAGTTCCACGAACGCGATATCTCTCATTGGCCCTCCCCCTCCCCCTCGAATCTGTCGTGATTAATCACGATTATCCTGGCTAAATCCTCTCCGATTTCTTCCGGTTTCTCGGACTCGCGCTTCACATCCCTCGCTGCGGTGCTTTATTTTCGGAATTATGTTACACGATCACCTCCGGTGAACGGTTGCGCGCGAGCTTTTTGGCCACGAGAAGACTCGTAGTTTTAGCGAGGTATCAGGCTGGGATAATCAACGATCCTCTCCAAGAAGGTTCCCTCGGTCGACTACGCTCCTCGAATCTTTGCGTACCGATCTTGGACTCGTTTCAGCTGACAGGACCTGTTTTAATGGTTTCACTCTTCCGGGGACGACGATGTGACTCTTTTTTTTTTTTTTTACCATTTATGTTTCACAGAGTTGAAAAAGAAAAATTACCCGTTTTTTAACCTCTTGCCACGCACGTCGAGAATTTTTTGTCCCAAAATTGCAATATTTTCTCAGTTTCAAGTATATGTAAGTAAAACAATATAGACAAAACAAATAATAAATTTATTGCTATTCTCAATAATTTCTATCCAGTGATATATCGACGAGTTCAAAAGAGAAAGAAAGCGACGAATTATTGTATACGTATTTGGGTCACTCGTTATGGTCTGCAATCAGTTGCCAGCGCAAGTGGTTAATCTCTTGCACTTGAATGACGTGCCACGCACGTCGAGAATTGTCCCAAAATTGCAATATCTTCTTAGTTTTAAATATATTTAAGCACAACCCAGACAGAACAAATAATAAATTTATTGCTATTCTCAATAATTTCTGTCCGGTGATATATCGAGTTTAAAAAGAAAACGACGAATTGTGTATGGTTTGGTCACTCGTTATGGTCCGCAATCAGTTGCCAATGCAAGTGGTTAACCTCTTGCGCTTGAATGACGTGCCACGCACGTTGAGAATTCTTTATCTCAAAATTGCAATATGTTCTCAGTTTTAAGTATATTTAAGCACAACCCAGACAGAACAAATAATAAATTTATTGCTATTCTCAATAATTTCTGTCCAGTGATGTCACATACCAACGAGCTCAAAAGAAAGAGAAAGCGACGAATTATTGTATACGTATTTGGTCACTCGTTACGGTCCGCAATCAGTTGCCAACGCAAGCGATTAAATTTCCATTATTTCGTAGATCTATATTCGAATCTTCGAAACGTCTTCAAGTTTTCCTTCCCCGATTCGACGCGACGTACCAACAGAAATTTAATTGTCTCAGCTGACAAATCCGTGCAAACGAGGTAGATGCGTCGCGCAACGAATGAAATCCCTACGACGATTGCGATCGGCGAGAGTTAGAGGTCTTAATGACGAGAGGGACCGTGGTCATCGTTGGTAGCGTTAAAGGTTAATCACAATCGCCGGGGACTAAGTTCTCACCGATTTGTTCCGCAATCTCGCGTCAGGACGTAGCTGTCCCTGACGTTGGCCGATTCGAAACGGCGCGCACGGAGAAGGAACACGCTCCGCAGATTACCGATCTGCCTGGTGGCGGTTTGCTTCTCTCGCTATCGTTTCAGCGAAAACCCGCGCCGTGCATTTCTTCCAATTAATCACAATTACCGGCCGAGGACTTCTTCAATTTGTTCTGCAATCTTCTCTGCGTTGGACAGTTGATGATCGAGCTACCCGGTTGGAAGATCTCGCGATAACCGCGTTCGGATCGGCGTTACGTGTTTGTCCGCTTGTCATCGAGTAAAATCTTTCCCAGTTTCCCCGATCAATTGACCGTTTCCAATTGGCTATCAGAACTTTCTGTAACTTCGGACCGTTCCATTCCCGTTTCAGCGATAGTTTGCTTTGAAATTTATTCTCTAACTACTGGGATGATTTGCAGGAAAGGCTATTAACGCTGGAAATTACTTCTAATATATATATATATATAATTTATAATCGGCAATAGGTCATTTGAATCTTCGAATATACGCTGTTTTTAAATCTATAAAATTTCGAACGAAAGTCACAAATTTCGATCATTTTGATAGTTCTAGTTAACTTTGAATATTTCATCTTCTTCATACGGCTGCGAAATGTATAAAATTTCGCTGTTGTTTGGAAATTTGTTAGATCAACAGCTATTTCAGTGCAAACGCGTAAACTTGGATGGCCGGTTGTCGTAATGATTCATAAATATTCAACGCATACACGACGCAGATGCGATGTCACTGGCTCATTGTAATCTAGATGAGAATGTCCCGTTTTAAATTGTTGCTTCGTGCAAGTTTCGCTCTCGCAGCTTTGAGGAACGATGCTCTGAAGAGGTACGAAAACCTGCAAAACCGGCACACACGACGATCACGCGTACTATACTTTTATGTTATTAAATAATTATCGCGACATCTTGCACTGCGTTTTTATTCCATTAACCTCTTGCGCTAGTAAAACTGGTGCACGGACCATAACGAGTGACCAAACCGTATACAATAATTCGTCTTCTCTTTTGAATTAATCGATATATCATTGGATAGAAATTACTGAGAAATAATAAATTTATTTTTTTTTTTGCCTGGGTTATGTTTAAAATATACTTAAAATTGAAAAAATATTGCAATTTTGGGCCAAATATTCTCGATGTGCGTGGCACGTCATTCCAGCGCAGGAGGTTAATCTTTTAATTGTTACGTTGATTTGACAGAGATTCCTAACCTACAATTCTCAATGACTACTTTGTATGATACACATTATTAAACGATAAAACGAAATCGCTGCAATAAATAAATAAATGATTTTGATAAACGGTTAATTTATATTCGACGTCCAACAATTTTTGTCATCAACCTAACCTCGATAGCTACGTCGTGTAATGTTTACATATATTAAGACACTCAATATTTGAAAATCCCAATTATTAAGTGATTAAATAAAACCATGGCAATAAATAAATAAACGATGTGACTAAACAGTTAATCTATATTCGACGTCTGATAATTTTTGTCGTCCAACATCAACCTAACCTCGATAGCTGCGTTGTGTAATGTTTACATATATTAAGACACTCAATATTTGAAAATCCCAATTATTAAGTGATTAAACGAAACCACGGCAATAAATATATAAACGATGTTACTAAACGGTTAATCTATATTCGATGTCTAACAATTTTTGTCATCCAACATCAACCTAGCTCGAAACCTAACCTCAATAGCTACGTCGTATAATATATACATATAT